TCCCCCAGGATCGGCCCCTTCCGGCCTGGAACACCGGGCATGACGTGCCATGGTGGGGAATATCCCTTTGGCTAGTTCAAGTCACCTGTCCCGGCTATGCTCCCTCCCAATTTTCTGTGTATCTTCTCACTGGCAGAGCATGAGACACAGGCAAGAAAATGTCCTTGGTTATGATAAACACAATCCAGCAAAACCAAAACAACAATGTATTATCACTTCTGAATTCAAAACACTGCACTACACTAGCTACTGAGAAAATTAACCCCATCCTGGCTAAAACCAGGACACTGGCTTCCCCCCTCTCCTGATGTATAAACACAAAAGTTCATGAAGATCCAAGAGCTTCTGTGTTGTGGAAGTAGCCTGAATGGCACAGGGCTGTTTGGGATCAGTCCAGCAATTACATGCAGCACACCAAGTCCTGTTAGGAGTTTCTGCAGAGCATCAGCCTATGTCAGAACCATATCCTTACAACCTCTGGTTCTGTAGCCTGAGGAAGTAGGAGCTCTGGAGACACAATTCCTGCAAGATACAGAGCTGAAGTCTTTAGGCAAAAAAGGCAGGATGTTTCCCCCTTGTAATCTTGTTTTATAACTCTGAAAACTGGGTCAGACTGAGGATTTGACAGACTAAAGTAGTTTTATTTGCCTTGAAATGCAACTCCCTTAAGATGCTCTAAGGGCAGTAAAGCCTCAGATTGCTCAGACAGGTTAGTAAGCCCCTTGAAAGCATTTAAGGAGCATGTTATCCAACCACAATACAAAGAGCTCTGCAACTGGAGCTGGATCTAACTCCCATCTTCTAGACCAGCAGTATCAAATAGGCAAAACATCACTTAAACCCTTGACTCTGTGCTTTGCCAGCAAAGCTGATGGACTCTTTACAGCCACATGTGCAAAAACAACTAGTCTCATTAGCTTCTAAGTTACTCTAGGATCCTAGAGCAGCTGACATGCTAGAGCTGGGTGAGACTAGGACGTGCATGGCTTGACTGGAGCACAGCACAAGAGACACGACAGCAGTTGAAGTCCAGTAGCTGAGGCAATAAGGTACTTGAGAGCGAGGCAGGAAGCCTGGGATTCACACAGTGAGTAACTGGCACAGCTTGCCTTGCAGAGATCCACACGCCAGTAACAAAGTGGCTGCTACAGTCTGACTAGCAACAGGATTTCCTCACAGTTTACATCCAAAGGCAGAACTCCCTGAGCAGTCCCTGTTTAGTATGAAACACTGGCACACTCGTCATCTCCTAGAGAAAAATCATCCACCCAAGCTAGAAAAGAATCTGTGCTTAAATGAACGCTACTTCTAAAGTATGTTTCAGCTTTACTGTTGTAGCTGGGTCTCAAAAGTGGTTGGTACTGTCTTTAAAGTGTATCACATGGGCTCTCCTCCCCAAACTCACATAGTCCTAAGCTTGGGACAAGGGATTTTACTGAAATACTTGCAAACGTAGCTTTGATGCACTGACTAACAGGAAACACCATTACTTGAGAGAACTTGTACTAAAAAAGGCAATAAGGTTTCAGACTCTAGCCAGCTAGACCATCCAAAGTAAACGTGAGCAGAAAGCAGGGCAGACACCAAAGGATTCATAACAGTACAAAAGATTCTTTCTAGCATTAAGTGTCAGATTTGTTAGTAACAATCACCACTAAGCGTTACAAGAAACAGCAAAACCAGTGTAACTGCAAAGGTGATGCAGTTAAGAGGCAGCCAACTCTGCCTTTACCACACTGGATAGTCTGGGAAGAAAAGGTCCCCCTACACATATTCAAGAGAAAGCCTAAACCAAAGGAGCCCTCAGTGAACTGCCAGTTAGAGAGTATTTACAGGGTTTTATGCAACAAAATTTGGGACTGTGTTGGAAAACAGATGCCAGCAATACAAGGCAGCTGCTGTTCTAAGATGTCTGGGGTACCTTTGTTACAGGGAGATGTCAATGCTCAAAAAAAATTCATCAAACTTGAACAAAAATAAAAGGAAAGGAAGCAATGGAAGGAAAGTTAACAGCAGGCCAGAGAAGCTGATTCACAGCAGAGGCCACTAATAACCCAACACAGATATTTTGAGCACACCACGACAATCATTCTGGTAGCAATGTGATCCACTGCACATGTGCCTCAACAGGGTGCTTGCCAAAGAGTGGAGAATGGGTTGGTATGGCTCAGGCAGGAACATGGGATGAAATATCAGAGAGAGCTTCCTGAAAGGGAGATATTCTCAGCCAGAGAATATTCCTCAAAAGGACACAGGGGAAACATGATCACTACAGTGAGCCTTGGCCTGATCAGAGCACCAGGACTGCTTCAGCTTGAAATGTTCTGATGGGGACAGCAATTTAAGGGATGTTGTTTCTACTCTTAACACCTTAAAAGGACAAAGAGAAGTAGTAACCATGTCCACAGCCTGAGTCTGTGAGCACCAACACACTGAAACATCCAAACACCTTCCCCTTGCTGAAAAAATCTCACATTGTATCCCTGCAGGGATGTTATTAGACAGGAAAAGCAGCATGCAGGATCTGTTCACAAGGAGATGGGCCTGTGCAGGAAAGCCTCACCTCAGCCAGTTGCTGCTGTCCAAGAGTGCCCAGGCCTTGCTGTGAGGAATCTTCCACCTGTAATTCAGTATTAGGTTTCACTGCTCCCTCTTCTGCTGGGGGCTGGATCTCTTCATTGTCCAGGACCTGCTGCTGTTCTTTCTGGAGTTCTCCCTCCTCATGGTACCTGCCATGGATCAGATGCCTTAGAACAGGAGAAGGAGGACTCCTCAGACTCCAGAATTTTGACCAAGAAATCCTTCTGCATGTTTTGGGATGGAGCAAACAACCCAGATGAATTGTACTCTCTCAGACCACAAATTACTCTGGTTTTAGCTCAAATCCCCAGTTACAATCTACCTTGCTGACTTGCAACTTCCACTCCTATCTACCTCACTCTTAGATTCATTCTCCAAAACATTCTGATCATAACCTGGGCGTGCTACTCCATTCCTTATGTCATCTTATGTCTAGTTGTCAATTCTCTCTCTACCTTTCATTTGCAATAAGAAACAGCATTTAATTCTCAGTATTTTAAGAAGAAACCTTGTTATCACTGATGGATTAGGAAGAAGTGTCATTAGCACCTGTAGCAAGTGACAGGACTCTTCTTAGCACTTCTGGGCTCTATTTCATGTTTTGCTACCCCACAGAACCTTGACTCATGTCCTCAGGAGCTGCAAGGAGTCCAAGATTTTGAGCAGGTCAAATTTTAGTGCTGTTCAGTTTAGGACAGGAGAACTGTAGGGAGGAATGTCAGTGTGGCATCTGCCTACCTGTGAGGGATAAAGACACCATAGCCACTGGTACTCAGCAGTTTCTGGTCTCTAATGCAAGCACTTAGCCAGGATGCCTTCACTAGCTGTAGCCCTGGGGGTAGCTTGGTTAACTTCAGGAGGCGAAAGGCTCGATCACAGCCCATGTCTTCAGCCACAATGACGTGCGTCACCTCTGGGGAGAGCTGGTTGTGTACGACACCTCCATTCTGGACAATCTGCTTATGGAAGATCTCCACTCTGGCATGGCCAATGCCAGCTTGCAACACGTAGGCAGTGACTGGTTTCAGCCACTCTGCTGAGGAAAGCACAGGGGCAGGAGCTCAGTGACGAGAAAAAGTGCCCCAACCCAGTGGGACTACATCTCTCACATAGGACTTGATGGCACCAGCACTGGCAGGCAGTCTTTGGGGGGTACCAGCTGGACACACCAAAGCAAACTGGCCATGATCTCTACAGAAAACACACTCAGGGCCAGAAAAAGCCTTCAGGAAACAGCACTTCCAGTTAACAAACTGGACAGGAGTAGTATTATATTCCACATTGTAGAGACACAGGACTTACCCTCAGGTATCTCAGTTCCTTCCTCTTTCAGGATCTTTGAAGGAACACTCTTCCCTGAGCCATCCCTCACCTTCTTCCTCTTGGGAAAGGCTTTGACAATCCCTTGTGGCTCCATAGGTCTGCTGGGAAGTTTAGCAGCAATTGCTGAATACCAGTAAGAAAGAGCAAGGTTGCTTAGAACAGTGTTACACAATCACGACGACTTCAGATTTGCTCATTTTGCTCACTGCCTTTGTTGGTCTGAAGTGTTTTGTTGTTGTTTCCTTAAAAAATTCTCACCCTAAGGGATACCCATGGAAACAAGAATTGCAGCCCATGAGGTCAGAAAAATCAGTCAGAAACCATGAAAAACCCACTTAAGTCAACCCTACTTGAACACCTTAGAAACCACTAAAACTGAGTCCTTATAATAGCAAGTATTCAACTATAACTTTTTGGAGCTCCTTCCCGCCTCGCCAAAAGAAAGAAGCAACTTTATTTCCCAGATATTTCTTAAGCACATTCCCACCACCTCTCCTGCCAGGACTGAAATCCAGTCATCCACAAAAAGAGATAAAACAACTGATTTATACCGAGTGTTTCACATAGCCAGAAAAGGAAATCTCCCAATTCAGCTTCAGCTGGAAATAGAAAATTAGTATGGATTAACCAGCCAAGTTCAATATGGGTATGACTGTAGCTTTACCATCACAAGCCTTGCAAAAGCAAACTTCAGAGCTTTAACTACCAGCCCAGGCTACCAGGATGCTCAGTTTTCCATAGCCCAAACAAGCCCCTGAATTACTGCATATCCCAACTGCCCCTTCCATCTGGCTGCAGCGTTAAGTTCACAACTCCTTGGTTTCCTCTCTGTGCAGCACTCTGTGTTTCACTTAGAGGTTTCTCACACGCAGACCAGCACAAACCTATCCTACTAAGCCTGGAAGAGCTGACAATGGTCCCCCAGGCCATGTCTTCCTCCTGTGGTAAGCTTCTCATCCAAGCATTAAACCTAACCCTCTGAAGACCAACGCAGAGCTCAACTCAAGTCCTTGCTTCTGCAAGGACAAATTCAGCGTTAGGGGAGCAGAAATGCTGCTGCATTTCTAAAACTCACCTTCACTGAAACGTTTCTGTTTTCAGGTCGCTTTGCTCAAAGAAAAAAAAAAACCCTGGAAACAGTAATCCTTTCTATTAAACAAAGAAAATAAACCCACACCGAATTCCCCTAGCACCTCCCGCCAAGCTTCTGTGCGCCCAAGTCCATTTCAGACCTCAGGCTGCATTTTAACTCGCCGGAGCCACAACCCACACGCTGGGCACCAAGGCTGCCTCGGGGACCCTCGGCCTGGGAAGGCCTCACGGGAGCGCCCGCGGCCCCGGGGCAGGCCCGACG